CCCCTTTCCATGCTGCTCAATGGCATTGTGGATCCTGCAGTCATGGGAGGCTTCACAAACTATGAGAAGGTAAGGTCAGAAGTATCTGTCCTGATTTTTCCTGATTCTGAATTCTTCCCTGTGATGTGCTGAGGCACTGGCACAGATTGCCCAGAGAACCTGTGGCTGCTCCATCCCTGGGAGTGTTCCAGGCCAGGCTGGATGGGGCTTGGAGCAACCTGGGCTGGTGGGAGGTGTCCCTGCCCAGGGCGGAGGTCAGGGCTGGGTGATCTCGAAGCTCCATTCCAACCCCTTAACATCCTATGATTCTGTGATTTATCTTTGCTGTAGATGATTCCCCTGGTAGTAGATGTTTCATTTTCTGAAATAACTGCTTGTTTCTCTCTCTCCTAGGCTTTTTTCACTGAAAGATATATGCATGAGCACCCAGAAGATCATGACAAGATTGAAAAGTTGAAGGATCTGATCGCTTGGCAGGTACAAAAATTGATGTCAGGCTGGTTGTGCAAAGTGCTGTGTAAAGACAGTTCAGTGTCACTTCTGAGAGAATTCAGACATTAAACCACGCACCCTGAGTCCACTCCTTTGCCATTTAAATCTCTCTTGGAGCTTGAGCTAAAGTTCATCTTTGCAAATCTGACATCATTTCTCGTTTGATAAACCTGCAAGGAACAAACATGAGCAACCTTTGCTTTTTCTGTCTCTTTTATTGTGACCAGAACCCAGTGAAAAAATCTCTCATTTATATCAGATGCGAAGAGATTTTTCAGGCCAAACAAGAGACTCTTCCAGTTTTGTTCCATTGTGAACATTTTCTGAGGGTAATTTTATGATAACTAAGAAAATGCTAATATGATTGGAAATGTTTTTCCCACAGAACAAGAGAGTGAATCATTGTCTTGTAATATTCAATTTTGCCTTTATAATAAAGGGAATCATTTACATTTCTATAGTTTCCATCTTGGAGGTAACAGAACCAAAAGCTCCAAAATTCAAACATTAAATCTCCTCTGAAGGCCACAAAAACTTGCATGGAATAAAAACCCTTTTGGTCTGGGGGAAAAGAAAAAAACACATTTATTTATTTATTTTCATGTGAGCTTTTATATATTAGGTTTTATAAGCTTTAAGTTTTATAGAGGAAAATAATTTGGTCCCAGCAGACCTACTTGGTGTCAGGTCTCTGTCTCTGAGACTTCAAATGAATTGCAAACACATTTTGCCTCAGCAAAGACTCATTTTGGTGACATTTGTGTATTAAAATAAGCTTTAAAAATACCTGTGGCATAATCACATTGTGGTTTAATTATTCAGTGACTTTTAAAGACATCATTTCCCAGCACTTGGCATAGCTCCACAACAATAGGATCCAAGCAAAGAGGGAAAAGGGAGCAAAAATGAGTGTCGTAGCTCAAATAAAAGGCGTTTCAGGTTTACAAATGAGCTGAGGTGTTCCATGTACAGTTAGGGTATCCTAAAACATAATCTTCCTCACAAATTATTTCAGGTTTCAGCACACAGGCAGCGAGCAGGGAGAGGCAGCTCCCAAGTATTGTGTGGTGTTGGGAGAGGGAGGTGAGTGGAAGCTTTGGAAATTAGGGAGGAGGAGATGAGTGGAAGCTTTGGAAGTGAGGGAGGTGCATGGAAACTTTGGAAGTGAGGAAAGAGAGGTGTATGGAAGCTTTGGAAATGAGGCAAGAGAAAGAGGTGTATGGAAGCTTTAGAACTGAGGAAGGAGAGGAAGGTGTATGAAGTGAGATGGAGAGGGAGGTGTGTGGAAGCTTTGGGAGTGAGGCAGGAGAGGAATGTGGCAGCTTTAGAGGTGAGGAAGGAGAGGGAGGTGTATGGAAGCTTTGGGAGTGAGGAAGGTGAATGGAAGCTTTGGGAACGATGTCAGATCTGCAAAGATGAACTTTAGCTCAAGCTCCAAAAGAGATTTAAATGGCAAAGGAATGGGACTCAGGGTGAGTGGCTTAATGTCTGGTGAATGGAATGGAGTGAGGCAGGAGAGGTGTATGGAAGCTTTGGAATTGAGGTTGTGAGAGGTGTATGGAAGCTTTGGGAGTGAGGCAGGACTGGAATCCCTCACGAGCTGACAGTGGTTGGAAGCACAAACAAGTTTTGATTTCACAGCACTGTGTGGCCTGGAGTTTGCAGTCTCAGAGATGTGTGAACAGCAGTGCCCTGACAGCTCCATCATCAGCTAACCACTTAAACCTGATGTTTTCCTATCCCCTTACCTCACCTCTTTCTCCATCTGCAGCTTTGTGCTCTTCATGATGTTATCCCTTCATCCTTCCTCTGAACTACAAGTGTACGTTTTTATTCCTGTCTGTTATTAATTCACATAAATCCCATTAGCAAACCAATGTCCATTTCCATCCACCTTATGCTTTTCCAGCTTAGGGAAAATATTTCCATGCAACTGCACCGTCTCAAGCTGATCTTTTCCCGGGAAGATAATGAAGTGATTGATTGAAATGAAGGTGCTGAAATGAATGATTGATGACATTAGTCACTCTGCATTTAGCTAATGTATTTCCAGCACAGCAAAACATAAAAATATCAGAGCACATAAAAATCCTGTGCTGCTTCCACAGAGCCGAAGGAATTGCTTCCCCCAAACCAAGGGTTTATGGTCATGTTTTATGATCCCATTATTGTGAAAGATTGTCTTTGGAGATTAATTTAATAGTTCAGATCAATGGAGGTTTTTTCATTCTTTTCAGCCAAGCAGATCAAGAGCTTTAGGGAAGAGAAAGGGAGAAAAATCAGGGATTAATGTGAAGTTGCAGGTAGAACTTAAGACAGTTTAAAAGTCAACAAAGAGTAGAGTTAGGATGTAAGTAAGTGCTGTCCTGAGCTGGTTTCCTCTCGCATTCACCTCAGTCATTTCTAGCTCTGCTACTTACATTACCTTTACTTTGTCCTTCACCTCTCCCAAGGTGAGTATCACACTGTGGAGTCTTTGCAAGCAGGTCCATCAAACCCATCTCTTGTTCCAAAGCCTGATGAATTGGTTGGATCATGGATGTGGCAAAGTTCTGCCTCTGTCCCTTCGAAGAGAAAAAAAAATCATCATCACATTTCCTGTGCTGATCCCTAGGACAAGCTCCTCAGTGCATTTTCTGCCTGTAAGGATGATCCCAGAGCTGCAACTGCAGCCCCAAGTGTACTTCACTTGGTAATTTCTTATTTGAAAGAAGAACCCATTTAAAAAGTCAAAAAGTTCTTGGAAATAAACAAGCCAAGTGACCACTTATCCCTCCAGATCAGGAGGGTCACAGTGTGGCCTGGTAATGATGAACTGTGAAATTCATTCCCTGATTCAGAACAGGGAAAGTTTCTGCTTTGAATGTTTAATTTCTGCTGAGTGGAAATCCATGTGGCTATAAATAGAAGTTAAGAAAAAGTCATTATTCTTCTCTTTGTAGCCTTTTAGGAGAAGCTGTGTCCATTTCAACAGTGCTAAATCGCAGGGAATCATCTTGCTAAGATGCCTTGAGTTTGTTCGTCTGTAATTCATCTGTGTATTTATTATTCTCCTTCCTAATAAAGCTGCTCCTTCTGATTGCTGCTCAGCCTTATTAGAAAAAATCTGTTTTTAATCAGTATTATGATTTAATTATGAATTATTAAGGAGAAGCCTCTTAGCTTGATTGCTGCAGAGAATATCTGAGTTGGAATCAGAGCACTGTGTGGGCTGGAAGGGACCTGGAAGAGGAAATACTTCTCCTGAGCTGGAGGTAGAGAGCTCTAATGGTGTGTCTGGATAGCTGTGGGAATGGAAATGTCTCTCTTAAAACATTTCCAAAGGTCAACTACACCTCCACACTCCAAACTAATTATATCACTAGGTGCTGGTGTGGATACTTGGTGACAGAAGCCTTGAAGAGAAATTATTATTTTCACTTACAAAGGAGAATTAATTTCATTTTTGCCTCTTCTGTTTCCTTCCCAAAGAAAATAAAACCATTTTTTTCCTAAGCAGGACTGGCTAGTAGATAAAACCGAATGTTTTATTAATAGTCCTTGCTCTCAGTTTATATCTGCCCAAGGATGTAGCTCATTTGCAGGTTTAGGAATAGCATTTATTAGAGACAACATACAGCTTTATTCTCCTTCAAGGTTTGATTCTTCCCAAACTGGGAAAGGATTTGGTATTAATGGAATCAGAGAATCATAGAATTTAAGGGTTGGAATGGAGACTAGAGGTGGAATGGACTAGAGATCATCTAGTCCCAACCCCTGCCCTGGGCAGGGACACCTGGACAGAGAAAAAGGGAAATCATGGGTAATTTTTAAATCCTTTTTACTATGTTGTACCTCATAAACATTGAATGATGATGGTTACTATGATGATAATAATAGTTGTTGTTATTATGGTTTTTATCATTCTTCTTCTTCCTGTCTTGTTATTATTGTTATAAATATTTTTAAGTGTCTCAAGCATTCAGTGGATTTGGACAGGGAGGCCAAATATCCTAACTCAGCAGTCTCAGAGTTGTTCTGTAGCAAAGCCACAGGAAGGTTATTAAATTCAGCTTGTAGTAGGGAAGTTTATTAGATTCTTATTCTGCTTCCAGGAAGTTTATTAAATTCTTCTCCTTCTTTTTCAATTCTACTTCTTCAATTCTTCATAAAATCTTCCTGAATTCTTCTACTTCATAAATTCTTCTTCAATTCTTATTCTTCAATTCTTATTCTTCAATTCTTCTACTTTTTCTTCTTTTTCTTCAGTTCTTAAATTCTTCTTCTTCTTCAATTATTCTTCTTCATCTTCTTCCTCTTAAATTCTTCTTCAGTTCTTTAATTCTTTTTCTTGAATTCTGTTTCTTCAACATCAGTTCTTCTTATCTTCAATTCTTCCTCTTCAATTCTTTCTCAGTTCTTGATTTTTTTCTTCTTCTTCTGTTATAATTGTTGTGTTGTTGTTGTACTTGTCATTATTGCTATTATTACTCCTATTCTCCTTATTCCATGAGATCTTTTGCTCCTCTCACAACACACGTTTGAGTTTTGCCCTAACCCTTCTCTGGGGAAACCCTGGGCAGGTTGAAGCAGCCAAACTCTGCTTTCCAGATCCCATTCCTGGCGGAAGGAATCCGGATCCATGGGGAGAAGGTGACAGAGGCACTGAGGCCCTTCCACGAGCGGATGGAGGCTTGTTTCAGGCAGCTGAAAGACAAAGTGGAGAAGCAGTATGGGGTCCGTGCTGTGGTGAGTTACCTCTAACCTCATCTTGAACACTTGGAATTGCTTTACATTCCAAGCAAATGTGCATTTCTGTAGGAAATTCCCACTGATTGAAAAAGCAACATGGATGCAGCATTGCCTGGTTCTCAGTGGTCATCAGATTATGGAACACTGGGCAGATGTGGTAAGAGATGGGCAGAAAGCCTCAGTCTTTCATTTGCCACGTGGGATCAGTTGCTGCATTGCCTGAATATGTTCCTTGAAAGTCAAGGTTAATTCTTCAGTGCTGAAGGAATTAGGTTACAAAAAGGAATTAAAAACTTGCCACTGAATGTGATTGTTCTAGAGCTGAATGTCTCCTTCCCATGGATGTCATTACTGTAGAGATGTGAGGGCTGTGCTGCATGTGGAGGGACGTGCACTGCCACCACCCTAAGTGTAGGCAGGCAGGAAAACAAAGACCTGCTACTTCCTGAAGTTTAGAAGGACTGAAATTCATGCTTTTCCCATCCCAACAGCTGTTTTCAGTTGCTACTTCATCTTCAAGGGACAGCCAAGGGTTTGGTGGTGTTTACACTGGGTTTTGTTCTGCCTTGAGTGTTACCCACCAGGGAGGAAGGCCCAAAGCCAGGAAACAACTTTGTAATGAAGAATAAAATTGAGAGTTCAGTCAAAAACTACATGGTTTGGGGGCTATTATATGAGCACTGTTGCCTGGAGGAAAGGAGGCTCAGGGGAGACCTTACTGCTCTCTACAACTCCCTGACAGGAGGTTGGAGCAGGTGGGGTCAGGCTCTGCTCCCAGGGCACAAGTGACAGGATGAGAGGAAATGCCCTCAAGCTGTGCCAGGAAGGTTCAGGTTGGACATCAGAAAGAATTTCTTCATGGAAAGGGCTGTCAGGCATTGGAATGTGCTGCCCAGGGAGGTGATGGAGTCACCATCCCTGGAGGTGTTCAGGAAACAACTGGATGTGGCACTCAGTGCTCTGGTCTAGTTGACAAGGTGGTGATGGGTCACAAGTTATATTCAATGACCTTGGAGGTCTTTTCCCACCTAAATGATTCTGTCCATAGCAATGACAATTTTTTTTATTGGGAACACCAAGATCTCCCAGGGAATATGACACCTTTATGGTATCTTTCTAACTGCTCCATTTGTGGTCCTTCAAATCCCATCTTGCTAATATATTTAGGCAAAAGCTCAAGTAGTAATTTATTCCCAAGGAGAACAGGAGTAATTGACATGAGTGATACTTGCATGTCAGTCACTTCAGTAATAGCCATTTACATCATCAGGGAGATGACTGGAAAGTCATCCCCAGGTGCTGTTATCTCTCTAATTTCACTCTGCCCACCAGTAGGAATTGTTAGGATTGATGGAGTTTTATCATTTCTGTCTTCCTTGTACAAGGCCAATTTACTGGTAGTTGACAGGTTGGAAAATATACCTGTAATTAAACAGCATGAGATTCTTATTTGTTGACTGAAAGAGTTCAATTATTTTATGCATATATCAGTTATTAATGACTAACAAAGCTTGTATAAATATTCAGAACTCTGAAATTGTCTGAAACAAGAGACCAACTTTCTTCTTCGCCTAGATGTCACTCTGTAAATTGGCTCTCCTGACATCCTTGATATAAAATTCCTCTCAGTGAGTTTTAACTTTGTTTTTTCTTTATTTATTTATATGAACTCCATTTCAGTTAGATATCCTGACAGGGGAGTCACTTTGATTGCGGAGATGGGTTAAAAATAGGTATTTGTAGGAAGCTCCTTTTTAAAGCCAAGGTGTGAAAAGGCATGTAAAGACCATTGAAACAAAGGAATAGAATCACGGAGCCATCAAGGTTGGAGGAGACCTCTAAGATCATCCAGTGCAACCATTAACCTATCACTGCTGGAACCCCTAAACCAGATCCTCCAGTGCCACATCCGGAGACCTCTGAAACACTTCCAGAGATAATGACTCCATCACCTCCCTGTACAATTCCCTATTCCAGTACCTGAACATCCTCACAGGGAAAACATTTCTCCTCACATCCAGTCTGACTCTGCCCTGGCTCAGCTCCAGGCCATTCCCTCTAGTCCCCTCCCTGCAGCCCTGGCAGGACACACATCCCCCACCTCTCTCCAACCCTGGCAGAGTTATTGGAATCTGCTTAAAATTCCACATGTGCCCATGAGAAACTAAACATTTCTCCCTAGAACTTTCAATGGATTTCCTCTAGAATCTGTTTCTTTGTGGTTACACACAATGGAGAACTAAATTATAGACAACTCTACATGGAAGAAAGTCCATGGAACCTTTCCATGTTACTTCAGAACAACCAGGTGCCAGCTTTGTTGTGGCTGAAGAAGATCTTCTGTTTCTCTGTTGCAGCTTTCCAGCCTGGATGACCGGCGAGGCAGTCGGCCACGCTCCATGGTGAGGTCCTTCACCATGCCTTCCTCGTCCAGACCTCTCTCTGTTGCCTCAGTGTCTTCCGTCTCCTCTGACAGCACTCCTTCCCGGCCTGGCTCTGATGGGTGAGTCAGGAATGCTCCTTCAGGGCTTACCTCTGGGAAGCATCCATGACTTTTGAGGGTGGCTGCCACCTGTGGCAACAGGAGGTTGGTTTAGTCTCACAAGAAGCTGTAGGATTGGTGGTTGGGTTGTTTCCCAGTGTGTTTTAGTCCAGATTTGGTTCATCATCATACTCTCATACTCATCATACTACTTTGTTGGGGCAGAGTGGTGTGAGGAACTAGCATGGGGTGGGGATGGTGCTCCACTAAGCTGATCACAGGGCTGGAGCACTTCTGCTGTGAGGAAGGGTTGAGAGAGCTGGGATGGCTCAGTCTGGAGAGGAGAAGCTCCAGGGAGAACTCAGAGTCCCTTCCAGTGCCTAAAGGGGCTCCAAGAGAGCTGGAGAGGGACCTGGTACAAGGACCTGGAGGGACAGGACACAGGGAATGGATTCACACTGCCAGAGGGCAGGGATAGATGGGATATTGGGCAGGAATTCCTCCCTGTGAGGTGCTGAGGCACTGGCACAGGTTGCCCAGAGCAGCTGTGGCTGCTCCATCCCTGGGAGTGTTCCAGGACAGACTGAATGGAGGTTGGAGCAACATGGTCTGGTGAAAGGTGTCCCTGCCCATGGCAGGGGTGGAATGAGATGGTCTTGAATGTCCCTTCCAACCCAAACCAGTCTGGGATTCTATTAAGTGACAGCCAAAAAGACTCCAGTCTATATAAGACACTTATGTCAAGATGTCCTGTTTTTTAACCAGGATAAATCTAATGCTCTTCTTTGTCCTCTTTAGCAAAGTTCAACAAGACCCCCTAAGCATTCAAACAAAAACCAACCCAAAGAGGAGATCAGTCACCCCTTTTAGAGTACTGCAGTGTAATAGTGCTGCACTGGTCTCCTGTAGAGTCGGTGATGAGGCATTTGCAGCCAACCCTTCACAGTAACCAGGTGGGGCCCAGGAGAAGGAAGGGATTAGCTAACTGCTCAATCATTGCTTCTCACTTTTGCTGCCAGAGGAAAAGCTCCTTATGGCAAGGTTGTACTTGAGGACTTACCAAGATATTTCATATGAGGACTGGGAATTGTGTTGATCAGCTCTGCCTCACAGCACATCCCTCAACAAGCAAAATAATCTGTTTGCTCTCTGGGCTTTCCATGCAGCCTCAGAAGTCCTTTCTCCCTCTTCCTCCCCCCAGGCATTACTGTAGTCCGGATAGGCCCAGGCAGCAGCTTTTTAAAGCCTCCTGAAGGGCTCTGGCTTACAGGGGTGTGCTGGAAACACTCATGTCCCTTGTGCACCTTCAGAGGGGAGTTAGTACCTGCCTGGAGACTAAAAGCATCGAGCAAAATGGAATAGCGCACCTAAGGGGCAACATGTTGCTTACCTTGATTACAAACAGTTTATTTAGCCCTGGGAAGAGCTGCAAACAGAGCAGAGTTCAGCTCTCATTGCATTACCCTCTAGAATATATCCATGGGGAAACATGTTGGTATCAATGTAGGACAGCAGAGATGTATTTTGACTAATTCATCCACTTGTCTTGCTGGAACAGGTTAGTAAGCAACTTTATTGTATCTCAGAAGCAAAATGCTGATTATTTCCCTGCCTGCCTCTGCCTCTTTTCCTCCTTCAAAATCTTTAAATGTGTTTTTCTCACTCTCCCTCTTAAGTTTCACCTCTGCATCCCAGCTGTGGTGTAGTAGGTGTCACACAGCAGTTTGGGATGATCTTAGTACGTAAATACAGTGTCAAAAAGAGCTCACAAGGCTCGTGGTGCAGCTCAGCTCCTGCTCTGAGCCTGAGGCATTGCAGGAGAATATAATGAGCAATCGTCATCACTGAGAAGACCTGAAATAAATACTCATTTGGTTGATCAGTGGAGCAGGAGAAGAAGAATCATAAGATGTAAATAATAACATGAAAGATCTCAAAACTCCCAGTGACTGTAAAATGCTGTGGGTGGTTTGGCACTGCTCACCTGGAAGAAGTTCCCCCATGTACCTACCACAGTTGATTTGGTTTATAGTCAGTTCTCCTCTCCTGCTTTCCATTTCCCTCTCTTCATCTGTGAATTTTGAGACTAGACATGAAGCTAAAAAGCAATTAAAACTGCAGCCAACAGCCTGTCTTGCCCAGGTCACCCAACTCAGATTTTATGCCATCTCTAGCTCCTCCTGCTTTGGAGCTTTGAAACATTAAGGCTCAAAGCAGACATTGACACAGTTTGGGTCTTACAACTCCCAACTCTAGGTATAAATAAAGCTGACATTACAAAAGCACTTTGGGTTCATTCTGTGCTTCAAACAGGACTTAGAAGTACGAATTGAGGCTGGTTGGGAGGGAAGTCCCAAGGTGCTGGTGGGATTTGTCATCTGTTGAAAACCCTGATGTGCTTCCAGTAGGATCATGGTGTGCTGACCCATTTTATCATGGCTAACATTGCCTGAAAATAGTTCATGGTCCTAATAATAGTCGTGTCTGGAAGGGAAACAATTAATCCTTGTCTGAGGGGTGGCAGTTCCTCTTGGAAACTTGCACCACCCTCAGCCCAGCCCAAAACACACAGCTCAGGTGGCTAAAAATCACAGAGTTAGGAGAGCTGTTTTCTGCTCTGGGCTCTGCCACTGAGGCACTTTGTGGCCCTGGGCAAGTCTTTGCCCTCCCTGTTTCCTCTCTGTGGGATGGGATGAATCAAGCCTGAGGTTTGGTCTCCCAACCTATGTGATTTTGGCTTTGGTTCTCAGGGGAATGGCTCAGGGGCTGCTGGAGGTACTGGTTTGAGCATCTTCCCATCAAATGGGCTAACAGAGTGGAAACTGAAGGGTCTTTATTGCTTCAGGCAACAAAGAGTAATGATGATTTGGGATATTGCTGCTGGAGGTTGCTGCTGCTGGAGAGGATCGGGGTAATGTCACTGCAAATGGAGATATGAATGCTCCAGTGCTGCACAGCAGAGACTGTGGACTGAACCTCCATGTACCCACATGGCACAGAAAATACTTTTTCAGTGTCAAAAAGTGTCTTCCTAGGGGGACTTTTGAGTTGGTTTCATTTGGTAATCAGTGTCAGTTTGACTAGAGTAAGATTTTAGTGGTTTGGGTCATTTACAGTAGAGATCATTTCTATTTATGATTAAAATAAATCATAGGATCATAGAATAATCAAGGTTGGAGGAGAACTCTGAGGAGATCTCTGAGGTCATCAAAAATTATCATAAAATAATGAATCATCAAAACCTTGTAAGAATTTCCCATCCCTGGAAGTGGCTGGAGCAACCTGGGCTGGTGGGAGGTGTCCCTGCCTGTGGCAGGGGGTGGAATTAGAGGATCTTTAAGGTCCTTCCAAGCCAAACCATTCTGGGATTCTATGACTTTTATTTACCTTTTATTTAAACAACTCATTTAAAGAAAAAAAAAGGAGGTGAGATTAGAGAGATTTCTTTAAATTTCTGCGTGAAGATCAGTTAAAAAGAGCTTAAATATTCCTTGGACCAGTCCTTTCCCTTCCAAATAAAACCTCTTTAAAAAACCTGAGCTTTCCTTTCAGAGTTTATTGAACCCCAAAAGACTTTTTCCACTGTTAGCATGGAAAGTAATCCTCATGGGCTGCAGAAGTTGCAGAGCTGATGGTAGTTCTGTGTCGGCTTTGCCTCTATTCACACACTCCAAGCACTCCAGGTGGGAAAGTGCACCTGATTCTGGGGCACTAACCTTGGCCTTTGTTATTGTCCGGTTGATTTTTGTTGCAGAGGTTGTCTGTAATGTCAGAACAGCTAAGCTCAGCCCTCCTGGCTCCCCCTCAGCAGGAGGTGCTGTGGTGAGCAGAGGTGTGGAGCTGTGAGGATGTTTCCACACTCCTGTGGATGCATTTGGTTTGCAAAACTAAATGTGCATACACAGGGTGTTACTACAGAGAGGAATGGGGTTTGTGTCTGTGGTTAAACCTCTCCCATGCTCTTTTAGCAATGTTGTGGTGTCTCCTTTTCATTAAGGGTGTTATTCCTTGCTTTTCTATGGAAAGGTGCTGTGATTTGGGTGAGTTCCAAGGGTTAGGAGGTGATTTGTGTTGTGTATCCTTGGCAAAAAATCACTGCAGCTCTGCAAAACAGTTTATTCCCCCGAGAAGGAACAGCAGCAGAAATACATCTCTTTCTACACTTAAGAAATAAAGCAACTGAAGAGGAGTTTGGGGTCTTGGCTGTTTGGTAAAGTCCTTAAAGCCATTAGTAAATGAAGGAATTATGCCCTGTGAGGTGTTGAGGCTCTGGCACAGGTTGCCCAGAGCAGCTGTGGCTGCTCCATCCCTGGGAGTGGTCCAGGCCAGGTTGGATGGGGCTTGGAGCAACCTGGGCTGGTGGGAGGTGTCCCTGCCCATGGCAGGGGGTGGAACTAGGTGGTCTTTAAGCTCCTTCCACCCCACCCTGTAACTGTACATTCAGAGCCTCCAAGGTGCAGAGGGAGTAGAGGTGACATTTCTTTAGCGCATTAGACATTTACCTGCATTGTTAGTGCTGATTTCCACTGGAGTTTTGAGGTGTTTGCTGCGCACCTGCCCTGAGGCCACAGCATGGACAGTGCTGAATGAGAAGCTGATTTCTGTGTGAAGCTCAGGGGTTTGTGCAGCTGTCAAGCAGCACATTTACTGCAGAGCAGGGGAATGTGCAGCTCTGCTCCTCAGCAGCTCTGCAGGAAATTTTATTACAAGACAATTATGATTGTTATGACCTCCTGCCCCTTCCTTCTCTCTCTAATGAGTTTTCCTGGATTAGCAAAGCATCATTAACTCAAGGGAGACTTGGGGAACTATGTAAATAAAAACCAGTTGGTTTGAAAATGGCGTTTTATTGATCTGAGCAACAACAATTTCCTTCAGGTTCGTGCTGGAGCCACTCCTGCCCAAAAAGATGCATTCCAGGTCGCAAGATAAATTGGACAAGGATGACCTAGATAAAGAGAAGAAGGAAAAGAAGAAGGAGAAAAGGAACAGCAAGCATCAAGAGATATTTGATAAAGAATTTAAGTCTACTGATATTTCCCTGCAGCAGGCTGAGGCTGTGATCCTCTCAGAAACGGTAACTTTATTAGCTTTATCTAATTCTGGGCTCTGTCCTTGCTCTTTGGAAATGAACGTGTTGATTTGCACCAGGTAGTTTCTTTCTAGGCCAAAAATAACTGCACATGGTGTGGATCTACGTGGTAATGAATCCAAACTGCAGCTTTTATTTACAGTGTGAGCAGCTCATATGGTTTCTCATATGAAAACCTCCACCACAAGCTCTATAATGTCTCTCTGGTAACAGATGGGATATCAGAAGGGGAAGAAATGCTACCATTTTGCAGCCTTTTGGAATTGCTGGTCCCCCCTAGATGGTGATGGGTTTGCTCATATTTCAGCTGCCTAGTGCAAGGCAGTTTTGGGTGGAAATATTCCAGGTCAATTTGTGTTCTTGGGGGACTATTTTGAGCAGAAAATCGTAAGCAGTTCCACTGGTGGCTCTGTGTAAGAATATTAAGGACAGGGCATATCTCCCTTAAACCCTCTCTCCTTGGCTTAGATTTAATTCACTGAAACTGGCCTAAAGGCTTAGGTAACTTGAGAAGGTTGAGCTGTGGAATTGAAAGCAAGGCCCTTTAAAGCCAGAGCAGGGAGCGCCTGAACTAGCTGTGACCTCCAAATCTCTGCCTGGACACCTGTTCTGAGGTCAAGAGTTGAAAAGTTGCCTCCCAGAATAAATGTAATGTTCTCTTAGAGGTTTGTGCAAGTGCTTGTAGAGCTTTTCACTCAGCACAGTCTTGGTGGTGGCTGTTGGAGCAAGGCCAGAGGAGGCCACAAAGCTGAGCAGAGCACTGGAGCATCTCCCTGTGGGAGAGCTGGGGCTGTTCAGCCTGGAGAAGAGAAGGTTGTGTGGAGACCTCAGAGCAACCTGCAGGAGGGACTCCAGGTGCAGAGGGACTCTTGGCTAGGAGCTGTGGTGACAGGATAAGGAGCAATGGGGAGAAATTGAAAGAGGGGAAATTTAGGTTAGATGTTAGGAAGAAGTTTTTGCTGTGAGGGTGGTGAGACACTGTCCCAGGGTGCCCAGAGGCTGTGGCTGCCCCAACCCTGGCAGTGTTCACAGCCAGGTTGGATGAGCCTTGAGCAACCTGCTCTGGTGGGAGGTGTCCCTGCCCAGGGCAGGGGTTGGGGCTGGATCATCTCTAAGCTCCATTCCAACCGCTTAATGTTCTATGATTTACACTGGACTTTGAAACTATTTCTCTCCCACCTGGGATTGCTGGTTCCTTTAAATCTTTCTGTTTGGTAAGAGAATATGAGTTGGATGTTCAGCCACATCTCCTCCGTTTTCTGGCTTTGCTCCTGCTTTTCCATCCAGAGTTGAGTCTCAGATGTGTCTTCTGACATGGTGGAAGTTCAGAGTTGTGTTGTTTGATGTTCCCAGTATTAGATAAAAATCTCTGATTTTTTAAAAAATATGCATAAAAGCGTTTTATATAAAATACTGATAAAAGCAAAAATCTCATTAAAAATTTTATATAACAATGCTGATGAAAGCAAATATTCTCTGACAAAATCCCTTTTGGGGCTCTCAGTCTTTTCACTTTTGACACCTCTGAATTTTCCCATTGACTTCAGTACATTTTGGATCAAGCCTGGTTTGTTTAAATGGAGATTCCTCCAGCCAAGCCATCCAGGTGAGCTTTATTGGAGTCTTTTCAGACAGCAAACACATTTTACATAGTTTTCCATATGTCTCATCTCCTTGGTGCAATGCACTTGACTTTGCACCTTGCAGCAGTCACGTATTGACTGGTTGAACCCTGCCATGGCAGGACCTCCACTGGCATCTCCCAGATGGCTCAGCAGAGCTTGTGGGAGAAGGATATTAGTCATAGAAGAAGAAAATTATCTTTCATAGCAGCTGAGTCAGTTGGAGCAGATGAGAGCCATCCAAGTGTGCTTGGAGAGCTTCTTGATGTCACCATGAGGTCACTGTCATCTCTGAGAGGTCTTGGGCTTTGGAGAAGATTCTGATGACTGGAAAAATGCAAATGTTGACTGGAAAGGAGGGCATGACATCCCTTCAGGGCCTGATATCCCTTCAGGGCATGAGATCTCTTCAGGGCATATTCCCATTTGTCATCTGAGGAGCAAAAATCAGCAAAGCCCAACATGGTTTGCCTCAAGTTTTCCACTCTTCCCAGTCAGAAGTTTTCAGTGCATGACTGGTATGAGTAATATTCCCCTGGTTATGGAGAGGGAGGGAAATGAAATGTCAGAACTGGTTACTTCCAGTTACTTTGAGCTTCTTCACATCCACAGATCAATAATATGAAAAGGATTTGACTGTTGAGAGAGAAACTCTCCCTTTTCAGCATCTGAAAACCACTTGATGAGCTCCAACACGACCAAGTCAATTTGTGGTGCTTGCGGTTTGCCTGGTTCGTTTCCTCTTGCAGGGGAAGTAAAGCAAAGACTCTTTTGAGGTCAATTTCCAAGAGGGGTTGGTCATTCCCACTGCTGTCTTCAGGAATTCTGTACAGATCATGTCAAGCAGTTCAAAGATTAAATTTGTCCTGAAATCCCCTGTTAATGATATAAAGGGAAATTCTGCTGGTGGGTAGAATTCAGCTTTTCCATTGCTCAACATTTGTATACAAGTTCCCTTTTGAAGCTGGAATTATTCCCAGAGCTCTCTTACTGCTGTGTTGTCTGAAGAAAAAGGCACTTTGGTTTCTCTTGCATTAGGAGCTTGGAAGCAGAAAGTTCATTAGCCTAAAAAGGGGTGATTAAAAGGGAAAAAATTAAGGATTGCTTTTTTCTACAAAACGTTGGACCACAGATTTGACTAGAAATGGAAATTAAAGATTTACGGTGTTTTAAAGGTGAGATTTTAGTAATAAACAACTAGTAGGTACTAGATTGTTTATGTTAGATGCTGGATTCATTCTGCTGAGGATCTTAGAGCTCATTCAGTTACAGTATTGCAGTTATTTGGAGAATTTTCTACTAGGTTCCTAGTTCTGACTATTAAAATGTTTGGGGGTTTTACAGCAGAAAATAAATTTACAGAGAATATCAAGGAAGGGAAATGTCAGCCCGTGGTCATCCCCATCTCTGCAGAGCTTCATTAGGTGGTGTCTAATGAATTCAGTGTTTCCATCCATGGAGATACCATGAACTTTCTTATATAGGATCATCTTTGTTCCAGTCAAATGAATCATCAAGGAAGAACATGAGGACATTATAAACTGCAGAATTGTTTACAGAGTCCCAGAATCGGTTAGGCTGGAAGAGACCACAGTGGGTCATCTGGTCCCACCTCCCTGCTCAGGCAGGGCCAGCCCAGAGCACAGGGCTCAGGATTGTGTCCAGATGCTTCTGGAACACCTCTAGTGAGGGAAAATCCACAGCTTCTCTGGGCAAATCTGTTCAGTGCTGACATTATAAACTGCAGAATTGTTTACAGAGTCCCAGAATCGGTTAGGCTGGAAGAGACCACAGTGGGTCATCTGGTCCCACCTCCCTGCTCAGGCAGGGCCAGCCCAGAGCACAGGGCTCAGGATTGTGTCCAGATGCTTCTGGAACACCTCTAGTGAGGGAAAATCCACAGCTTCTCTGGGCAAATCTGTTCAGTGCTCAGTGACTTGACTGCAAAGAACTTCTTCCTCATATTCAGGTGGAACTTCCTGGGCATCAGTTTCTGCCCATTGTCTCTTGTGTTATTGGTTTCCACCACTGAGCAGAGTCTGATCCTCCTCTTGGCACCTCCTGTTCATGGACTCGAATCCATTAATGAAGTTCCTCTCAGTTGTCTTTACTCGAGGCTGAACAAGCCCAACTCCCTCAGTCTTTCCTCACCACTGAGCTGCTTCAGTCCCTTCAGCATCTTCCTTGCCCTCCCCTGGAGCTGCTCGAGGAGCTCCATGTCCCTCTGGTCCTGAGGAGCCCAGAACTGGACACAGCACTCCAGGTGTGGCTTCACAGGGCTGAGCAGAGGGACAGGATCACCTCCCTGACCTGCTGGCAATGCTCTTCCCGATCCATCTCAGGATTCCTTTGGCCTTCTTAGCCCCCAGGACACACTGTGACCCATGGACAGCCTGTTGTCCACCAGCACCCCCAGGTCCTTCTCCTTGGAGCTGCTCTCCAGCAGGTCAGTGCCAACCTGTGCTGGTGCTTGGGGTTGTTCCTCCCCAGGGGCAGAACCTGCACTTGCCCTGGTTGAATCTCAGTTGGATCTTCTCTGCACATCCCTCCAACCTGTCATTTCATGGAGCTTTTACATTGGTTTTGCAAAGCAGCACTCAGAGCCTCTTTGGTCTAGTTGTACTAGTTAAACATTTTTTCCCCCAAATTTCACTGCACTCACGATGAATTTATTGACTGCTCGAGCCTTAATTACAGAGGATAACAAAGATAAATTAAGCACTTCAGCATGTAAAGATGATCAGTAATATCTTCATAGCTTTCTAGAGATTTATTATCTCCTTTTAAGTATCACATAAACCTCTTCAACGTAGATTCTCTGTGTTAGTTCTTTGATCCCATGAGCTGACAGCAAACCCAACACTGAATCCAGGTAGTTAACAGAGCTCTTACAGGGCTTGTGTTGGGAATCAGACTAACACTCTGTACAGTGTATTGATCCACTGGTGTCTAACATCACTCACTATTGATCTTCCCTTCGTTAGACCAAAAAAATTAGCAATGGGTTCATTATGGATTAGTTGTCTCCAAGGAGTTCATATTCCCCAGCAGAACTGTGATTTATGGGAAGCTTTCAGGAGAGGCCCAGGCTTGTCAGTCACAGGAGAAGTTCAGATGTATGTGAGTAGCTACAGAGCAGGCTGACTTGGGAACTTGATTGCAGTTGTTGGTTTTCTCTTGGTTCTGATATTTCAGCTTTCCTCATCAGTTAATGTGTTTCCTTAGTTCCTTTATATGCCCCTGAAAAAGTGTTTGCTTTGCTTGTCTATTCTGCTAAAAATACACATTAAAAGATCTTCAAAGAAATCTTTGGAGTTTTTGGGACTTAAATTTTACTATCAGTCAAATTTCTGAAGGCTACCCTGAGGTCTTGATGATCTTTGCTACTCTATGATCATTCATGTCTTGTAGAAGAGCCTGAGAGAGACAACCTTTATGCAAACCCATTTAGAATCATAGAATCAGCCAGGTTGGAAAAGAACTCCCAAGATCATCAAGTCCAACCCTACCATCATTACCAGACCATGGCACTAAGTGCCACATCCAGTCTCAGCTTGAAAACCTCCAGGGATGGTGAACCCGCCACCTCCCTGGGCAGCACATTCCAGTGTCTTAGGCTTTGTCTTCTGAAAATAAAAGCAGTCATTTCAGATTTCTCCTTCACATCATACTTCAAAAAACCTCAATATTGTGTAATGACAAAATCCTTCAAAACACCCTGAACTGCTGCTGGAATTTTCTGGCTTGTCCCAGTGCAGCATCTTGGAGTAATTCCCCTCTTAGCCTCAAGCTGCTGCTTCATTTTCTGGGATGTGTTGGAAAGAAAATGTTCCTTTTTTCACTGTGATCACGGTTCATGGGGTGGGTGAATGAGTAACCTCAGCAGAGCTCTGAATCAAAAGAAATCACCTTAACAAAAGCAGGAACTGCCCATCAGATTCCAGGTATCTTTTCAAGATTTCTGATGGCAAATTTGAATGGACTATGAAGCAACCAGAGAAAAAAAAGGGATATTCCAGTGAATTAAATCCAAGCACAGCCAGTAAAGTGTTTGTGAACAGATGATGTCTTCCTCAGAGGAGAATTTCACCATGGAAATGGTTAAAGGGAGAAATTTTAGCAGGCAAGCAGAGCCATGTGAGAGGAAAGAAAAGGTTTTGAGGGATGTGCAATCTCCTGTAAGGCTCTAAACTTCCTCAGCTGTTACTAAGCAATGTTTGGGGAATTGGCTCATTGCTTCAGCAGAATGTTGCAGGTCTTGGGGAGGTGTGTGCAGAGAAGCTCCTTGTGATTCCTTGGGAGAAGGGAAAGCCACTTGGGGCTGTGAGACACTGCATTAAATCAGGAAAGTTGGATGTTAGTGTTGCCCTAGGCCTGTTGAGGAGGAAAATGGAGCAATCCCAAGCTCTGACACTAATATGTGGTCTTTGGTTGTCTCCCTGGTTTTGTCCCCTCACAGATCAGCCCACTGAGACCGCAGAGACCGAAAAGCCAAGTCATAAACATCATCTCCAGCGAAAGGCGATTCTCCGTCTCTCCATCCCCTCCCAACTCCCAGCTGACACCTCCCCCCATCACTCCACGGACAAAGCTCTCCTTCAGCATACAGTCCAGTAAGTCCTTCACCAAATCTCCTCTTCCTCTCAAACTTCTAGTGGGGAGATGTGTTTCCTCAGCATTTCACAACACCTTGGGTTGAGTTGAGTTGGTCCTTTCACCATCACCAAGGTGTTGCTTGCAGGGACAAGGACCTCTTAACCTCATGCTCCTTGCCTTTGCCAGTAAAGATTATGTCAGTATTTTACAAAACCAGACCGAATTATTTTATTTAAAAAGTTTATTTCCAAGTAATCATTAACAGTTACTTAGCTGTACTTGTCAAAAATTGGTCTTGGGTATTTTTAAGCATAAAGGCTTAAAAAAGTATTATTTTGTGGTGATTGTACCTGCAAAGAACTTTTCTTTGCTACACTGTGAGTACAAGCCAGAAGGGAAAATAAAGGTCAGTCTCTGTGGTGTATTTTTTGTTTGACATTGACATCTATCACTCAGTTTTACTGTGAAATACCATGTTTGCTTCAGTCTTCAGCAAAGCCTATTGCAGAATTGTGTGTAATCCAACACCTATTCCTTTTGCTTTTTTGATTTCCAAAACCTGTTATTCAGCGTTTTCACTTGCCAGACAGAAAAAAAAATTCTTTTTGCTACATGTCCCCAAATCCTGGTACAATAGTCAAGAATTCAGCCCTGACCCTGTTGGTGTTCAAGGCCAGGCTGGATGAGCCTTGAACAACCTGATCTAGTGAGGTGTCCCTGCCCAGGGCAGGGGGTTGGGACTAGATGATCTGTAAGGTCCATTCCAACCCCTGAATTCTACGATTCTGTGATCAGTGTTAAGGAAATGTCTTGTTTAAACAAGTTCACTGTTTTATTTACTTGTTCTAATGCCTAAAACCTTTTCCTTTAAGTAATGAGACACCAAAACTAAGTATTTTGATAACACTGAACTCCAGCTCTCTCCTTTCTTCACAGTTTTATGGCCAAAATCTACCAATATGTTCAAAACTGGGAATACATAGTATAGGATTATGTTCGCTGCAAAAGATCTTCTTTGAATTGGAATATTTCTTCCTATGTCCCTTTTGGTAACACTAATTGATCTCTCACTTTAAAAAGTGCCTGAATTTATCATCTATTTCTGAGAACATTTATGTGCTGGAGATTTATGGGTGTTACGTAAAACAGGATCTGCTTATTGCCAAATCTGTGTCAGTCGTCCATAATCATTTGAGGAATTAGAGTGATGAATTTTTTTGGGGAATTCCAAGGATGAAGAAGTTACTTCAGTGCCCAAATCGGCTAAAAGCAGTTAATGGGTTGCTGAGCAATCCTGCTTGCTTGTTAGCTGGCAGTTTAGGGGAATGGAGTGGAAAATGTGATCATTAGGCTAAGGTGAAGAATAGAGTCCTTTAACTGATCTCTTGCCAACTCAAAGATCTTCCCAGTGGCACAAGTCCAGCAAGGAATAAATATTCAGAGCATACTCAGCTGATGAAACACCTTCCAGAGTGATAGCAAACTCAAAATGTTGAGTAACTCTTTGACTAGTGACTGTGTGAGTGTGGTAGAGTTCAGCTGGAGGGAGCAGGAGAAAATTAATGGATCTGTGGCAAACTGTTCTTGAAACAGAAAATCCCTGGAGTTTGTGGTTCTGTTTCTGCAGGAGAGGAGATGTCTCCTGGATTTCCTTAAACTGTGGGATTGATCAGCTGCTCAGGGCAAAGAATAGAATATTTCATGATAGAATATTGTTGTGCTAAACACTTTGCCAGATGAAGTGCAGATATGTTGTCAGTGTACATTTTGAGTTATGGATATGGATGGAAATGCTCTGGCCACAGTTCCAGGGATTTATGAGTGTCTTGCAAAAGGAAGAGGTTGGGAAGGTGCCACATAGAGGCTGCAGGAAATCAGAGCTGGAACAGGAGCTGAGGAACACAGGGAAAGGCAGAGAAGCAGAGCAGGACAGGAGGAACACAGGGAAAGGCAGAGAAGCAGAGCAGGACAGTTGCGTGGACAATTGGTGACCATCCAGGCTGTGTAAGTAGAGTTGTCTCTACACCTTGTTTCCTCTGCAGCTCTAGGGAAAACATTCCTCATCTTCCTTTCCATGGATCTCCCAAATGTCAGCCTTAAAGAAACAAAGGGTTTGTGTAACTCCTAACAAAACTGGTCTTGTCAGCATCTTGGGAGCACCTCTTAGTCTACTTGCGTGGACAATTGGTGACCATCCAGGCTGTGTAAGTAGAGTTGTCTCTACACCTTGTTTCCTCTGCAGCTCTAGGGAAAACATTCCTCATCTTCCTTTCCATGGATCTCCCAAATGTCAGCCTTAAAGAAACAAAGGGTTTGTGTAACTCCTAACAAAACTGGTCTTGTCAGCATCTTGGGAGCACCTCTTAGTCTACATGTAATGGCTGAGATGAAGTTAGAAGTTACATCATGTAAGAAGAAGTTATATTATGTTAGCTGAAAAAATCTGTATCATACAAAGCTGAAGTGTTCAAGGCAGTTAAATTCACTTTACTTTGGGGTGTTTGTGTGTGGTTATACTCCCTTGCAGTTTCCACCCGAGGAATGTCTACAGTGAGGCCTAAAAACATGATTTGCTAATAATAAATATGTAAAAGTTTCTCTTATCAAAGCAGAAGTCAAGGTTCAGCTAAATCTCTAGCTAAACACTAGAGAAAATGTTGTTTGCCAAACATTTCCTAGTCTTATCCTAAACTGCATGGACAAACCAACCACACAAATACATCTGTAGATGTAGATAAGATTTATAGATAGATGTGTAGTTGTGGGTGGGACATGCAGTGTTGCTTTCCAGCTCCATGTTCCATGCCATGAGCTTAGCAGAAATAGATTCTCATGGAGATGTTTAAAGGAAAATCGTAGGAATGTTTGGAGAATGCAGAAATCCTATGTGTGTGGAAGGGGAAGGGTGAAAAACAGGAGCAATGGAAAAAGCAATGAGAGTTTCAGGTCCTGGAGGACAAACAACATTTTTTCATGTAGAAGAAGCCACTGGAAGTTTGAAGTACCAGGATGGAAAATTATCTCCTTCCTGGTGTAGATGAAAGTTCAGCTGAAAGGATGAAGATTAAAATTGCAGTTTTCAGTGCCAAATCAATGCAGCCTCCTTAGAGTTAGATCCTGTTAGTGAGAGGCTGTTCCAGAGCCCAATAAAATCCCACTTTTAATAAGGTATTGCTAGGAACCTTGCAACAAAAACATCTGCATAAACAAGGCCTCAGCTTGTTTCACAAGTTAAACACACTAAAAATAACCTTTTTTTTTCATTTCCTTAATGTCATTCCCTAATTTATAAAAAATAAATTCATTTTCTTATCGCCTACAGATCACAGTGGGTTTGGCCTCTAATAAAATGAGTGAATTACATGGAAATACCCCAAAATCTTTGTATCACTCAGGCCTCAATGGAGTTTATTGTCCCTGGGGCTATTTGCCTTTACAGCACATACCTGGGAGGATTTATCTGCTAAGGAAAAGGAACTTCCTACCCAGCAAAGAGGAATAATAAATGTTTGGTGCTTTCTCCTGTGTGATTTTATTTACTCAGCCACTAATGGCTGCTCGTTTATTATGGTTACCTGCAGTCTGAGAGTTTTTGAGAGAGATGTAGTTAATTCTAGGCTTTCATTTGTGCATTTTAGTAACAAGAAGCTTTTATTTTACTGGGGGAAAGTGGATAAAACTGAGCTGGATTATATTTTCTTAGTGCACTCACAAAACTTTTAGTGTGTATTAATGGATGAGGTGAAATTGCAGAGATAGAGCTGAGAAGGTGATATTTGCTAAGCTGTGAATATTTGGATGTGAAGGGAAAAATTGATTCCTGTAAAAAAGAGGAGATCATTCAAGTGTTTTGAGGGCATTTTAAATTGAGACCCTAACCCTAGTGTATCTTCTCTGGGCCTCTGCACTCCAAAGACCATGATGCCCCTTGATATGGAGATTGGTTCATTTGTTCTGCTTTGCTCCAGAATTCCTCATGAGATGAGCTGTAGATAATTCCAGAGGCAGTGGAGGGCAGGCAGAGATACGTGTGTGTATCACAGTGTCAACACCATGAGAACTGGTGCAGGGTGGAGTTTTTGGTTAGGTTGGCCTGAAGGTGAAGGAGAAGAGATTGAGGTGAGATACTGGGAAGGAATTCTTCCCTGTGAGGGTGGAGAGACACTGGCCCAGGTTGCCCAGGGAGGCTGTGGCTGCCCCAGCCCTGGCAGTGTTCACAGCCAGGTTGGCTGAGCCTTGAGCAACCTGCTCTGGTGGGAGGTGTCCCTGCCCAGGGCAGGGGTTGGGGCTGGATCATCTCTAAGCTCCATCCCAACCTCTTAACATTCTATGATATTATGATACTATGAAATTCATCTAACCTCACTCATGTGATCGGTGAGGCACTGGCACAGGTTGCCCAGAGAAGCTGTGGCTGCTCCATCCCTGGAAGTGTTCCAGGCCAGGTTGGATGGGGCTTGGAGCAACCTGAGCTAGTGGAAGGTGTTCCTGCCCATGGCAGGGGATGAGACTGGCTGATCCTTAGCATCTTCCCAACCCACACCAGTCTGTGATTGTATGATTCAGATGCTGAAAGAGTTAACTGAGTGTTGGTTTTTGCAGGTCTGGAGCTGAATGGCATGTCCAGCACTGACATTCCTGATGTCCCTCCTCCTCTGCCCCTCAAAGGAAGCATGGCTGACTATGGGAACCTCATGGAGAGCCAAGACCTCATCAGCCCAACCTCCCCCCCTGCCCTTCCACGGGTGAGTCCCTGAGACAGTGATCACTTGGTGCAGTTTTCTGTGTCTTTGAGCCATCCCAGGTGAGATCTGATCCTGCTTCTGGATGTGTCAGCAAAGTCAGAGAGTTCTGCAGGTGCAAAGTGTGGGTGTGAGGGAACAGCATCACTCATGGGGACCAACCTGGAGGGAGGTTGGATTCACTCTGGTGGAGGAGACTAAGCCAAGTGTTGTTAGCTGTGTTGGTGAGGGAGCTTTAACCCACAGACTACAGTCTCAGCAGCAAATGAGATTTAATAGCCTTTCAGTGCTGCCTGAGGAAAGGAAATAAACCTTGTACCTGCCACCTTTCCTTTCTGTTCTGTCGACATTCAATTGCCACTTGTTGCCTCGAGGCAAACACATGTGCTCCCTTTGAGGGAAGGAGCTCAGAAACTCTTCATCATCAACAGCTTTCTGAAGAAAATACACTTTTTCAACTTTGTTTCCTGTAGCCTGGAAGCTTGTAAAAATAATTTGCTCCTTTCCTTTAAAGCAGCACTTTGGAGAAGGGCCATTTATTCTCTTTTTGAGGGGAAAAAAGTACATTTGAGGAGGTGTGGTGGGTTGACCCTGGTGGGACCCATCAAAGCTGTTCCATCACTCCCTCCCTCAGCTGCACAAGGGGAGAAAACATAACAAAAGGCTCTTGGGTCGAGATAAGGACAGGGAGAGATCACTCGCTGATTACCCTGGTGGGCAAAACAGGCTCAACTTAATTAATTGGTTTAATTTATTACCAATCAGAGTAGGGCAATGAGACCCCATGAAGTCACAAGTGCTGCCAGCAAACCTGCTCTAGCATGGGCTCCTCTCTCCCTGGATCCACAGGTCCCTGCCAGGAGCTGCTCCAGTGTGAGTCCCCCATGGGGTCACAACCTCCTTTGGGCATCCCCCTGCTCCAGTGTGGGGTCCTCCTTGGGCTGCAGGTGGATCTCTGCTCCTTTGGTTTTTGGCAAAGTCTTATTCAGCTAAGAATATTATTCAGGTCTTAGTATTTTATCTTATATTAAGACCTTAGGCAGCTGTTAATATTTTTGCTCTTTACAGTGTTGATCGCTCAGGCTCCTTTGATTTTTTTAATACATCTTGTAATTTTAGAAGTAGACCCAAGTGGTGAAGAAAGGCCTCGGGATTTATGCATACCTAAAAAATGCAAGCAAATAAAGGCTACATGTCCTCTACTGTCCAAAATCAGAGAATCATAGAAAGTTAAGGGGTTGGAACGGAGCTTAGAGATCATCCAGCCCAGCCCCCTGCCCTGGGCAGGGACACCTCCCACCAGAGCAGGTTGCTCAAGGCTTTAGCCAACCTGGCTGTGAACA